ACCTGTGTCTACTATTTAGGCAGAATACCGTCACCCATTCTTACTAAGAAACTGAAAGAAACCTCAAAAACGGAAACTTCTCTTCCGAAAAAAAGGAAGGAGACAGATCCGAACAAAATCGATGAAAGGGAAGAAATCCAAGTGAATGGAAAGAAAGACGAATTCTACTTTCCATTTACAGAGGCAGATTCGAAAAATAGACCGGTTTCTAAAGAGTTTTATCTCATGAATCAAAATGAAAATGATGACAATTCCAAATTCAAAATATTTGATAAAAAAACGCAAGATAAACACCCCATAAAAAAATTAATATACAAGAAAAATGGAAGAAAAGATAAAAAGAAATACGGCCACCCCCTAGATATTTAATACCCTCTCCTACAAAAAAACTGATAACACCAACCCCATTTGTAATTCCATCAATTCCTTCTCTATCAAAAAAATGAGTGAATTTTGCCAATTCTCTTATCATAGCAATAAAGGATGTTGTATAAAAAGTATCTATATAAGCACGATTATATGACCAAGCATATAAGACCTTTATCGTTTTATCCCAAGGGCTTCGGTTCAGATATGTTATACCAAATGAATTAATTAAGTCAAAATTTTTGAAAGATGAATAAATTGGGTTATATAAAAAGGAAGCTAAAAATATCCCTAAATAAGCTAAACTGCCTGAAAACATTGCATCTTTCAAAAATTCATACCAATCTGTTGAATCCTTTGATCTTTCATATAGAAAGGTAATAGAAGGAGCTAACCATTTGGATAATATATCTGTTTCTGCTTCATTAAAAGGAATTCCTATAGATCCAACAAACAGAATAAAGAGTACTAATACAAGTAACGAAAATAACATAGTATTTTCCGATTCATAAGGGTAAGAAAAAGCCTTTTCCCTAGCAAAAGAAATAATATTAAAAAAGGGCTGTCCCCCATTTCTTTTTTTTCCATTCTCATTTCTTTGATATATCTTTTTTGAAGCAAACTTTTCATTATTATTCATTCTTAATAAACGAAAATTTTGTTTAATTCTTTTTGAACGACCTTTCCCCCATAGACATATTGAATAGAAAAAGATATTTTGATTTCCACTGTAATTTTGAAAATTAATGTTTAAATGCCCTTCAAAAGTAAGTAAATAGGTCCGAAACATATAAAATGCGGTTAATCCCGCCGTGATCCAAGCTATTATTGCGAAAATAGGCGAATACAACCAACTATCATTAAGAATTTCATCTTTTGACCAAAAACAAGCAAGAGGTGGAATACCACAAAGAGAAAATGTACCTAATAAAAACGAAGTTTTGGTAATCGGTATATACTTTGTTAACCCCCCCATCAAAACCATATTCTGATTTTTATCGGCGGAATAGCCAACAATACTTTCCATTGAATGAATAACAGACCCAGACCCTAAAAATAATAATGCTTTTGAATAAGCATGAGTAATCAAATGAAATAAAGCACTTCGATAAGACCCGATTCCTAGAGCTAGCATCATATAACCCAATTGAGACATTGTTGAATAAGCTAAACCCCTTTTAATGTCTTTTTGAGCAAGAGCTAAAGTAGCTCCTAATAATATTGTAATTATGCCTATCAAAGAGATGAAATCCATTATATAAGGTATAACTATAAAAATAGGAAGAAGACGAGCTACAAGAAAAATACCCGCTGCTACCATAGTAGCGGCATGGATAAGAGCCGAAATAGGAGTGGGACCCTCCATAGCATCAGGTAACCATACATGAAGTGGAAATTGTGCGGATTTAGCAACTGCACCAGCAAATAATAGAACAGCACACAAAGTAACAAATATAGAATTGACTTGATTATTGGAAACCAAGTTATTAACCATTTCGAATAAATCCCGAAATTCAAAACTACCTGTTATCCAAAAAAGACCAAAAATTCCTAATAATAAACCAAAATCGCCCACACGATTTGTTACAAAAGCTTTTTGACAAGCATTTGCTGCAAGAGGTCGTGTGAACCAAAACCCTATTAATAGATAGGAACACATTCCAACCAATTCCCAAAAAATATAAATTTGTATCAAATTGGAACTAGTAACTAATCCCAACATGGAAGTACTGAAAAAACTCATATAAGCAAAAAATCTCAAGTATCCTTGATCGTGAGCCATATAATTATCACTATAAATAAGAACCATAATTCCAACAGTAGTGATTAATATTGACATAATAGAAGTAAGTGGATCGATCAAATAACCGAATTCTAAAGAAAAATCATTATTGAGCGTCCAAGACCATACATATTGATAGATAGGACTGGTATTTATTTGTTCAATAGAAAAATTAGTTGAAAAAATCATGACTAGACTTAACAATAAAACAGTCGGAAGAGTGCACAGACGATGAAAATTTTTTGTTGCTGTCGGAAAAAGAAGAAGTCCTACTCCTATTAACATAGGAACTGGAAGGGGAATGAAAGGTATGATCCACCCATATTGATATGTCTGTTCCATAAATTTTTTTGAATTCTTAATTAATATGAATTGTTTATGATTCAATAGACTTCACCTTTTTTGAAAGGACTCAATAAAAGGATAAAGATATACACTAAGTTAACATAACTTAAATAGAATCTTTGGGTTTTAATTTCTTTTTATACTTATTTATTCTGATAAATAATTCCAATATCCAAACCAAGAAGTTCCATCTGGTCAAACTAAAGAGATTGATTATCCGTCCACTACAAATTTGAAAATTCAAGTCAAATTAGGGATATTTTTACTCAATTTAACAAATTACTAAAAAAAAAGAAGAATATTCTTTTTAGTAATATTTCCTTTTCGAGCAATTTTAGATTTATCTCACTTATCTTATCCATTCTTTTCTATTTTTTAATTAAAGATTTTTTTTGAAAAAAAAAATATTCGAAAAGCGCAGATTGTTTTTGAACAATAAATGTCTTTCACATTCAGCTAGCAATCTCTTAATTTTTATTTAAATGGCAGTTCCAAAAAAACGCACTTCTGCATCAAAAAAGCGTATTCGTAAAAATTTTTGGAAAAAAAAAGGATATCGGGCGTCGTTAAAAGCCTTTTCCTTAGGAAAATCTCTTTCTACCGGGAATTCAACAAGTTTTTGTGCGACAAAGAAATAAAATACATATTTTATTTCTTTATAATATAAGACGCTGGAATAATCTCAATTGGACTGACTCAAAACTTGACTGATTCCATTTGTAAAACGAAACCCCCAAATTCCAGTTCCTGTTTATTAACTCAACAGGAACTGGAATTTGGTACGGTTTTCAAACTTATCATATATAATATATAAGCAGAAGAATTCTCTTTACCTTATCAAATAAAAAAGAGTTCATTAAGACCAAAATTCTTTTTTTTTTGGAGGGGGTTATACCCTCTTAATTCCTGGTTTTAAAGAAGGAAAGTATGAAATATACAATAAAACGAAGACCCTAAACGAAAATAATGAACCTTCAAATACCCATTTGAACGGATTTTTTCATCAATTTGTAAAAAATATTGCACTCAGTTGAATTCTTAATTGTAGATGATTTTTTAGTCACAAGCTATTATGAGTTCAAGACAAGCCGCTATGGTGAAATTGGTAGACACGCTGCTCTTAGGAAGCAGTGCTAGAGCATCTCGGTTCGAGTCCGAGTGGCGGCATGTCATCTCCTAAAAGAAAGTAAGTAGATCTTATAATGAATTCAACTTCCTATTTCGATTTTCTAATTAAGGCAATTTTTTATGATATTTTCAACTTTAGAGCATATATTAACCCATATTACTTTTTCGATCGTTTCAATTATACTTATAGTTTATTTGATAACCTTTTTACTCGATGAAATCGTAAAACTGGATGATTCATATAAAAAAGGTTTGATAATAACTTTTTCCTGTATAACAGGATTGTTAATGAATCGTTGGATTTATTTGGAACATTTTCCCTTAAGTAATATATATGAATCATTAATCTTTCTTTCGTGGAGTTTTTCCCTTATTCATATAGTTCCGTATTTCAAAAAAAATGCAAATCTTCTAAGCACAATAATTGGTCCAAGTGCTATTTTGACCCAGGGCTTTGCTACTTCAGGCCTTTTTACTGAAATAGACAAATCCACAATCTTAGTGCCTGCTCTTCAATCCCAATGGCTAATAATGCACGTAAGTATGATGATATTAGGCTATGCGGCTCTTTTGTGTGGATCATTATTATCAGTATCGCTTCTGGTCATTACAGTTAGAAAAAAGAGACAGTTTTTTTATACGAGTAATTATTTATTAAATTTAAATGAGTCATTTTTCGTTGGTGAAATTAAATATATGAGCGAAGGAAATAATGTGTTCAAAAATAGTTCTTTTTTTTCTGCAACAAATTATTACAGGTCGCGCTTGATTCAAGAATTGGATTATTGGAGTTATCGCGTTATTAGTCTAGGATTTCTCTTTTTAACCATAGGAATGCTTTCTGGAGCAGTATGGGCTAACGAAGCATGGGGATCCTATTGGAGTTGGGACCCGAAAGAAACTTGGGCTTTTATTACTTGGATCATATTTGCGAGTTATTTACATACTCGAACAAATATCAAATTTCAGAGTACAAATTCAGCAATTGTAGCGTCTATTGGCTTTCTTTTAATTTGGATATGTTATTTTGGAGTCAATCTATTAGGAATAGGATTACATAGATATGGTTCATTTTCATTCACATCTAATTGAATTGAAAAAGTGATTCTTACAAGTAGGAATCGAAGCGTTTACAGCACATATAAGATAAAAAAACTTTGGGTGGACTGGCGAGAACCTCGTGAATCAAACATTGTAGTCATCCGCGGAATTCTCGCCAGTTCAAATTTCATTTTTTTTACTTAACATAAGAGAAGAAAAAGTCTGTCTTTTCTTTTTGTCATTGTACAATGAAGACTTTTCAAATGATCCAATTTAGTTTATTTTAGTTTTTTCTAAAAATTATCTAGAAAAAGAATTAGATAGAATAACTTCCATTTTTTCAACTGATAATGAAAGAACGAAATCGGGGTACATACCAATACCTAATATGGGTAAAAAAATAGAGATCGAAAGAAATAACTCTCGTGGCCCAGAATCAAAAAAATAAGAGTTTGCAATATTAACTATCTTGTATCCATAGAACATCTGGCGTAACATAGATAATAAATAAATAGGAGTTAATAGCATTCCAATTGACATTACAAAAGTAATTAGGAATTTTGTCATTAAAAGATATTTTGGACTAGTAATTAGTCCAAAAAAGACTATTAATTCGGCAACAAAACCACTCATACCTGGTAATGCAAGGGAGGCCATCGAAAAGCTACTGAACATTGTGAATGTTTTTGGCATTGGAATAGCAATTCCACCCATTTCGTCAAGATAAACAAGACGTATTCTATCATAAATCGTTCCGGCCAAGAAAAATAGTGCAGCACCAATAAATCCATGAGAGATTATTTGTAAAAAGGCTCCGTTTAGTCCCATATCGGTGATAGAACCAATTCCTATAATTATGAAACCCATATGAGATACAGAGGAATAGGCTATTCTTTTTTTTAAATTCTGTTGACCTATAGATGTTGAAGCTGCATAGATTATTTGCAGTGCGCCTATTATCATAAACCAAGGAGAAAATATAGAATGAGCATGAGGGAATAATTCCATATTGATGCGAACTAATCCATACGCTCCCATTTTTAATAAGATTCCGGCTAGAAGCATACAAGTACTATAATGTGCTTCTCCATGGGTATCTGGTAACCATGTATGGAGGGGTATGATTGGCAATTTGACAGCAAAAGAAATAAAAAATCCAATATAGAATATTATTTCCAAGACCACAGGATAGATCTGGTTGTCTAATGTTTCGAAATTTAATGTTGGTTCAGCAGAACCATATAAACTGATACCCAGAACTCCCATTAAAAGAAAAACAGAACCCCCCGCCGTGTACAAAATAAATTTTGTAGCCGAGTACAAACGTTTTTTTCCTCCCCACATAGATAAGAGTAGATAAACAGGAATTAATTCGAACTCCCACATGAGAAAAAAAAGTAAAAGGTCCCGAGAAGAAAATAATCCTATTTGTCCACTGTACATTGCTAACATCAGGAAATGGAATAATCTCGAATCTCGAGTAACTGGCCAAGCCGCTAAAATCGCTAAAGTGGTGATGAATCCCGTCAGTAAAATGGGTCCTATAGAGAGTCCATCTATTCCTAATCTCCAATGGAAATCAAAAGAATTGATCCATTTATAATCCTCAATTAGTTGGATTAATGGATCATCCGATTCGAAATGATAACAGAATGCATAAGTTGTTAAAAGAAGTTCTAATATAGAAATGGATATAGTATACCATCGGGTCGATCTATTTCCTCTATGTGGAAAAAAGAAAATTAAGGACCCCATAAATATCGGCAAAACTACAATTATTGTTAACCAAGGAAAATGATTCGTGGTAAAGACAAGATACACTTGGTCCAGAAAAACCTGTGCTCAAAATATTTGAATTTTATTTTGAGCACAGGTTTTGTCGATAAAAAAAAAACAATAAAATGGAATCAAGTAGAGTTTTATGGAACGTATCAATAAGCTAGACCCATACTGCGAGTTGTTTCATGCCATAAATAAACTCGAACACTCAAGAAATCCGTTGGACAGGCGGATTCACATCTCTTACAACCAACACAGTCTTCGGTCCTTGGAGCAGAAGCGATTTGTTTAGCCTTACATCCGTCCCAAGGTATCATTTCTAATACATCGGTGGGACATGCTCGGACACATTGAGTACATCCTATACATGTATCATAAATCTTTACTGAATGTGACATTAGATCTATCCGTTTTTAAATATCAAAAATTTTCGGTCTAGTAAACTAACTTGTAAATGAATCCTAGATCTCGATACCAGACGAATCAATGAATGATCCGAATTAATCGGTTTCCAAATTGGTTTATGAGTGAAAACCAAAATACTTTGATTTTTTCTGTTTTTTCAACCAAGATCGTATCTTACCCGTCCAAAACCACTAATTTGAATCAATTTAGGAATATTCCAATTCTATTTATATGAAATACTATTTATTCATAAAATTGGATTGGTTAATACGAGTTGATTTTCTGTTACGATAAATTGATGAAACAATAGCCGATCCAATGGCTGCTTCAGCGGCTGCAATAGCTATAACAAAAATTGAGAAAATGTTTCCTCTTAATTGACGACTATCAAAAATATCAGAAAATGTTACAAAATTGATATTAACTGAATTTAATATAAGTTCAAGACACATAAGGGCTCTAACCATATTTCGACTTGTGATCAATCCATAGACACCAATAGAAAATAAATAAGCACTCAAAACAAGTATATGTTCGAGCATCATTAACCAACTCCTTTTCTGTTAATTCTATTTTCATTTCAATTACTCGTTTGAAAGATTTATTATTGACGAGCTATAGCAATTGCACCTATTAAAGCAATTAAAAGAATTATTGAAATGAATTCAAACGGAAGAAAAAAATCCGTTGATAAATGAATTCCAATTTGTTGACTCTTATTTATCAAATCTTGTTCTAGAATCTGATTTGATTTTGTAGTCCAAAGGATCCCATACCAGGACGTATCTAGGATAGTACTGATTAGTGAAATAAAAAGACTTGTACAAACCATTGAAGTAACTCGATCCCCAACGGTCCAAAGATAAAAATCTTTGGAATATTCTGAACCATTCATAAACATTACAGCAAAAATGATTAAAACATTGATAGCTCCCACATAAATAAGGAGCTGCGCAGCAGCTACAAAATACGAGTTCGATAGAATATAGAATAAGGATATACAAAAAAGAACCAATCCCAATGAAAAAGCCGAATAAATCGGATTCGGAAATAATACTACTGCCAAACTTCCTAATATAAGACCCGATCCCAGAAAGACTAAAAGAAAATCATGTATTGGTCCAGGTAAATCCATTTTTTCTATAAAAAATCAAATAATTTCATGCCCTTGTCGACTTGACCAGGAAAACGAAGTTATCCTAAAACTACAGGATATTTCTTAATTGAATGAAATTTCAATGGGGGGGTGGTGTGGATTGATAGAAATACAGTTATGGGGCTATGCTTATTCTTAAAAGCAGAAGTTGAAACTATCCATTTTGAAATCATTATTCGAATAGAAATCGATTTTCAATCAAAACGAAGCCAGGATTCTCGCGAACCAACCCTTCTTGACCAATTGACCAAACCAAAACCTCATTCCTTTAGGTCAAAAAGCTATTTTGATTTTGAATTTGTAAATGGTTTTTGAATCAAGAATTTTATACATTTTTTATTTGAGGTGAATTCGAAGAAATTGTTCGAATTGTGTAATCGTCAATTATTGACACCGGTAACCGACCTAGAGCAATTTGATTATAATTCAATTCGTGACGATCATAAGTAGAAAGTTCATATTCTTCAGTCATCGATAAACAATTTGTTGGACAATATTCAACGCAATTACCACAAAATATACAGATTCCAAAATCAATACTGTAATTAAGCAATCGTTTCTTTCGAATATTAATTTCCAATTTCCAATCTACAACAGGTAGATCTATAGGACATACACGAACACATACCTCACAAGCAATGCATTTATCAAATTCAAAGTGAATTCGGCCCCGGAAACGGTCTGATGTGATCAATTTTTCGTAGGGATATTGAATAGTTACAGGTAAACGATTTGCGTGGGACAAGGTAATCATGAAACCTTGACCAATGTACCTCGCGGCTCGGATTGTTTGTTGACCAGAATTCAAGAACTGACTCAGTATAGGGAACATACCGGAATATCTATAAATAATTTGACTTGTTTCTTTCTCTTGTTTGTGACAAGTTGTGAAAATCGAATATTTTATTCCTTTACAGTGAAAGAAGTTGAGACGAAGTTGTTAATAATAAATTGCCTAGAGATATAGGTAAAAGAAATTTCCATCCAAGATTTAATAGTTGGTCCATTCTCAATCTCGGTAAAGTCCATCTTGTTGCAATAGAAATGAACAAGAAGAAATAAGTTTTAGCTAGTGTAATAAAGATACCGATTATTGTTCCAAAAACTTGACTTCTTTTTTTTATGTCAAAAAGTTCAGTAACGAATATGTATGGGATAGAAAGATTCCAACCTCCCAAGTAAAGGACTGTTAAAAATAATGAAGAAACGAGTACATTTAGGTACGAAGCAACATAAAATAAACCAAATTTGATACCTGAGTATTCGGTTTGATAACCTGCTACTAATTCTTCTTCTGCTTCTGGTAAATCAAAAGGCAATCTCTCACACTCGGCTAGAGAAGAAATTAGAAAAATGATAAACCCTATAGGTTGACGCCATAAATTCCATCCCCAAAAACCATATTTTGACTGCACTTCAACTATATCAACTGTACTTGAACTGTTAGATAATCATAGTCGATGATAACATCACTGTTCCCATCGCTATTACAGAACCGTACATGAGATTTTCATCTCATACGGCTCCTCATAGATCACAAATAAACCGAAGGACTTTTCATTTATCTTGATATGTTTGTGTAGGATTGATAAAGAGTCAAACTCTTATCCTAAAGCCTAGAATTAGACCAATGGAATTCTGTCTGCTAATAAAATAGTGCTTCTGAATTAATCTCATCTTTTCCGAATTTTCATTTTTCTTTATTGCTTAATAACTTTATCCTTGAATTAAAAAAGAGTTGACTTTTTAGAGAAATAACACTTAGATATTTCAAGTTATCACTTTTTATTACGAAAAAAAATTCGATATTACATTACATATTTTGATTTTATTTCGTTCCTATTCTACTTTCTTAGGGACATTACTGAAAAGTAAAAGATTCCTTCGTTCTTGATAGTTATTTACTTAATCAGCGGATAGGAACATACTCTGGATCGAAATCTTGAGGAGTACTTCTTAATAATTTCTACCAACTAAAAGCCCCAATTTGAATTACTTTTCTATAAAGAAAAAGAAATATCCGGTTGGATAATTTATAGAATCTCCATTACTAATCCTTTGTGTATCTTGGTCTTCCTAACCATCCACTCATTTTTTTAGTTGGTAATATATCTATCGTAAGAGAAAATCCCATACAGTTGATCTTTTGAACCCACTTCAAGCTATGGTGACTAATCAACCAATCTTGGATTAAACAGTGTAGGCCGCTTATGTTTGCTTTCACTTAATTCTTGTACATAGGAAATGGGATTGAATTTATTTAACAGCAAAATTTGAAGCTGTTTTATTTCACTCATATAACTATCTGGTTTAGTTCATCCACCCTAATGATAATGATGAATAAAAAAAAAATGGATATTCAACTCATTTAATTTTCTTGTCAGAAAGAAACGAAATAAGGGAATTTTTATGTTTCAGCGAATCGCACGTAGAGATATTGATAATACACATAGAGTTAATGGTATTTCATAACTAATTGATTGAGCAGCAGCCCTTAACCCACCTAAAAAAGAATATTTATTATTTGATCCATACCCCGACATTAGAAGTCCAACAGGAGCAAGACTTGAAACGGCGATCCATAAAAAAACACCAATACTAAGATCAGTTAGAATAAAATGATAGCTAAAAGGAATTACTAAATAACTTAGTAAAATGGATATGACTGCTATACCTGGTCCCATACTAAATAAACGAGTATCTCCCCGAGATGGAAGAAGATTCTCCTTAAAAAGGAGTTTTGTACCGTCTGCTAGAGCTTGAAGAATTCCCAAAGGTCCGGCGTATTCGGGTCCAATACGTTGTTGTATTCCCGCAGATATTTCTCTTTCTAACCAAACAATTACTAGTACACCCAGTGTGATTCCTAACACAAGAGTGAAAATAGGAACAAGCATCCATATAATTTCATATCCTTCTTTTAAGGATTCAAATTTGGAAAAAGAATAGATAGCTTCTATTTCTGTTGTATCAATTATCATTTCAACGATCAACTTCTCCCATAATGATATCTATGCTACCTAGTATCGTCATAATATCAGCCAATTTCATCCTTTTAACTAATTGAGGGAGAATTTGCAAGTTGATAAAACCCGGAGGTCGAATTTTCCATCTCCAAGGAAAAACACTCTGATCTCCTATCAGAAAAATCCCCAACTCTCCTTTTGGGGCTTCGACTCTTACATAAAGTTCTTGTTTGGACAACTCAAAAGTTGGAGAAGTTTTTTTACTAATAAATCGATATTCAAAATCATTCCATTCAGGATCTTTTATCCTATCAAAGCGCCGGATTTCTAAATTTTCATACGGTCCCCCCGGGATTCCTTCCAGGGCCTGTTGTATAATTTTTATGGATTCTGTCATTTCACTAATTCGTACTAAATATCGAGCTAATGAATCGCCTTCTTTTTGCCATTGAATCTCCCAATCAAATTCGTCATAACATTCATAGCGATCCACTTTACGAAGATCCCATTGTATCCCGGAAGCTCGTAACATTGGTCCTGATAAACCCCAATTTAGTGCTTCTTCTGCACCAATAATGCCTATGCTTTCAACTCGTTCTAAAAAAATTGGATTCCGTGTAATAAGATTTTGATATTCAGCAACCCCGGTTAAAAAATAATCACAAAAATCCAAACATTTATCTATCCAGCCATAAGGTAGATCAGCAGCGACTCCTCCGATACGAAAAAAATTATGCATCATACGCATACCGGTAGCAGCCTCGAAGAGGTCATATATCAATTCTCGTTCTCTAAAAATATAGAAGAAAGGGGTCTGTGCCCCAATATCTGCCAGAAAAGGGCCGAGCCATAACAAATGGGAAGCGATACGACTCAATTCCAACATAATAGCTCTGATATAGCTAGCTCTTTTAGGTACTTGAATATTTCCTAGCTGCTCGGGTCCATTTACGGTTATTGCTTCTGTGAACATAGTAGCTAAATAATCCCAACGTGTTACATAAGGCAAATATTGTATAATTGTTCGATTTTCCGCAATCTTCTCCATTCCTCTATGTAAATAACCCAATATTGGTTCACAGTCAATAACATCTTCACCATCGAGAGTAACGATCAGTCGAAGAACACCATGCATTGATGGGTGGTGAGGTCCCATATTGACTATCATGAGGTCCTTTCTTGGAGTTGGCGAAATCATAAGTTTGTTCCCGAGTGATTCTTCCATGTATTGCTGAAATGAAAAATAAGTTCATACAAATGTAAACAACTAAGCTGAAATGGCATCATGCTTCAGATTAACGAATTTTTCTCTCTCGAATATTTAACTCACTAATTAATTCTTTATAGCGTACTCTATTCTTTTTTGACAAATAGGCTAGCAGTCGTTGACGTTTTCCCAAAATCTTTCGCAAACCTCTCTGAGATGAAGAGTCTTTTTTGTGCAATTCCAAATGTGAAGTGAGTTTACTTATCTTAGTGGTGAAACTGAATACTTGAGATTCAACAGACCCTCTCTTTTCTTCCGTTTCTTTTTGAGAAATAACCGAAATGAATGAATTTTTTACCATCAAAAAATTCCTCTTTCTCTTTTTACAAATATGGATTTTACCGATCAGTAATAATAATCCTATTCATTGTAATTTTTTATATACAATAATCGAATTCGAATTTTTTTATAAACGCTTCATTTTGAGAATTCAAATCAATCAATCCAATTTCAAACTGGATTTAGATGGGAATAGAAAAGAATTGGTACACTTTCACATCAAAAATTTGAGACCTAAAATGAAGAAGATTCTGTTACTTCATTTAAAAATCTAATTGAGACATTATTTATTTCATATTCGATACTAGAATGAAATGTGAGACATGTGATTCATCTGTGTATTTGTTTGTTTTCATATACCCTATATTATATATCGAGTATAAGATATATAGAATGATATATAAAATAGAGTATAGGATATATAAAAAAAGTGTATTATCCACAAACTTTCAATTGTGGATACAGATGGATCCTTACCATACTAAAACGACTGCCATTATTGGTATCAAACCAATAACGACTCAGACAAGCTAAATCTTCTAATCGATAATTAGGCCAAAGAAAGAGTTTGATTTTCATAAATTTCTTTTTCTCTCTATCAAAGTAGTTATTATCATGTGAAACTTGGCTGATGCTCTTTTCGTTGTAAAATACTAGATTTATATCTACATCAGTCCGAGTCTTTGGAGTCAAACAAATTAGAATTCGAAATTTTCTACGACGTCTAAACGATAAAATATTTTCAGGAACAAGTAAATCAAAATGATTTTTCTTTATCTTTTGAGTTATTCTTTGATGTGGTAAAATAGCTTCATCCCCTTTTTTGTTTTTTTTCAAAACATATCCGTATTTTTGATTAATTTGGTACTTACTCTTATGAACCAACGAAATACTTACAGTTTGATACAAAATCAGCTGTCCCTCTTTTTTTCCAGACAGTCGAATGGGTTCGATAATTAATATTCCCCTTTTCATAAACTCTGTAGGAGTGAAATTTCCCCGAATCAGCATTATATCCAAACTCATTTCTCTTTTTTGAATCGAGGATATAGTAATTTGTCTTGGATCTATCAGTCTAAGGAGGAGACAATATACTTTGATATTATTCATCATTCTTTGATTCAAAGTATCGTCCCATTTCAATTGAAAAAGCAAATAACGTTTTAAGAAGAAATCGAGTTTTGCTTCTGTGTCACTTTTGTATTGTTTTTGTTTCTTGCCTTTTTTTGTGTCAGGTCTTGCATAATTTTTTTCAATATCTTTTTGTTCTGGTAGAATGGATTCAAGATCCCCTTGGCTTGTGGGTTCTCTTTCTTCTTTATTTCGATGCTCTTTATTCGATGCTATCAAACTTTTTTCTTTTTCCTTGATCTTTTTCTTTTCACTACTTTTTTTATTTCTATTCAAATAAAAAAAAAGGAATTTGCTTGGTATAAACCAAGGTTTCGTTTTATATACAGTATAAAGTGACACCAATTCTGGGAAGAACCAAAGTTCCAGATTGGGACGCTTTAACATTTTTTCATTCATTCTCATCCAATCAAAAAAAGTTTTTGGGGACTTTGATGAATTCATTTCTGAAATCATAAGATAAAAAAGATCTTTTTTTTGAATTATCTGAGAGTTATTATTATTAGTAATTTGAGTATTTTGATTCCTATTGATATCAATCGGCATCCACGCCTGAATATCGAATTTTTGTTTAAGATCAAAATTTGGAATTTTCCATTCCAAATATTTTCTATCGGCCGATTTGTCCAGATCTATATATAGACTATCTACCTTTCCTATATAATTATTAATAAGGATATTCCTCAGTGTATTAAAAAAGCTTTCTTTAGGTGTATTATAATAGATCTCTTGGGTCTTATTTCCTTGAAAGAGGAATCCATAAAAAAAGCATTCCGTTTTATTTTCATAATTAAGAAATTTATATGATAAAAGATCATAGCTATAGTATTTTTGAAAATTTTCTTTTTGATTAACTAATAAATCTACTTGAAATTCTTTTTTTTTTTTTGAATTAATTAATTTTTTTTTTTCATATCGATGTTGTTTATTTACATTTTCCTTCTTAGCTTTAGCTATATGATGCTGAGAAACTCTATTTTTCCATTTTTCGGGTATTAATCTAGACCATATGATCTGAGATAAATCGTATTGATAATGTACTTTTAACCAGTTTTTCCATTGATTTATTTCATAACTCGGAAGTTGCTTATTCTTCAATTTCGAACCAACTACTCCTTGTCTTTCAAAAGAATCCTTTATTCCAGGCTTAAGAAAAAGAAAAAAGGGCAGTCCTTGAGAGTGAAGAACAGATCTTAATTTATACAAGTCATTGACCCGTAGTTCTGAGAGTATGTAAAGTACATATGCTTGTGACACGTAGGATAAGTCATAAAGAATAGGTGAATTTCTTTTACTAATATTATCAATTGGCTTTTTTAGAATCGAAAAAAAGGGAATTGTATTTTTATTTTTTTTTTTAAGTGTTCTTTGTTTTCTTTCATTATTGTAAATTGATTTCTGAAGAATTGTTGATTCAAGAACAAATTCTCTATTCATTCTGACACTATTAATGATAAATAAAATTGGATCCGTATATATTCGTTCAATGAAAAATTTTACAAAAAAAGATAATTTACACATTAATCGAGCATTTCGTCTTTTTAATACCTTCCATTTTTTGAATCTTTTAACACTATAACTTGTTTTCTTGGGACTAAGATTATTCATTCTTGGAGTTACTTTCTCTTTGGAAATTCTTTCAATTTGATCTCGAAGTGTATTTGTTCTATGAGTTCGATCCTTCATTTTTCTTTCTGTCAATAAACAATTTTTCAAACTTGGAGATGCAATTTGCCTAGATGATTCATGAATTATCTGATTGTTAATCATGGAATATTTTTCTTCTTTAATTTTAATTTGACTCAATTTATATATTTCGACTTCTCTTATTCGAAATAATCGAATTAGATTGCCTTTTAAACCTTTGAAAAATTCTTTTATTATTTTTTTTAGAAAACAAACCCTTTTGATAACCCATTCTTTTATTTCTTTTAAAACTTTTTGAAGTAATTTTGTTTTTCTTTTGAACACTATTAGAACTTGAACAAAAACTCGAAAAGATTTTTTTTTGAATTTTCTCAGTTTTTTTTCGAGTTCCTTCAAAATCGGTTTAAAAAAGGAAGGTCGTTTTCGGGGCGAACCAAAAGGGAGTTCAGCTTCCATTCCCAAAATAGTTAAAAAAGAAAAATCATCTTTTTCTTTTTTATTTTTTATTAGATCTTTTGGAGAGGACTCTTCTTTGGATTTGTGCCAAGGTTTTAGACAGAAAGGAAAAAATATTTTTATCTGAATACCATCTGTCAGCCAATTTTTCGGAAATTCTGTTTCGGATAATGGAACACCGTTATAGGTGCATTTAACATGTATTTCTCTATTCCATTCCTTGAAATCTTCAGACCATTCGGGAAATTGCAATAGGAATATACGTCCAATATTTTTCGAAATTATGAGTGAAGGTAATAGAATCGATTTTCGAAAAATGGATTGAGTTAATAACATAGAACCTCTTATTACTTGCGCAAATGGAATCCTATCCCAGTACTCTGCTATATCTATTTGAGCTTTTTCCTTTTTTTTCTTAGTCTCCTTTTGTTCTTTTATTTTTGTTTGCTTTTCATATCTTCTATACTTTAAAATTTTGAATGCTTTCTCTTTCCCCACCCAATTTCGAAAAATCAGTTTAATCCACTCGGAGATATCAAAAGAAAAAAGAGGGAATTTTTGGATTTTGTTGAAAAAAAGAGGGGAATGCACATTTGCTTGAAACAATTCTCCAATTTCTATTTTACGTCGTTGAGCCCGTATAGAACCTTTGATTATGCCTCGTCGAAAGTCGGGTTGGTGTGAATAGCGTATCAAAGCCACTTCGTTTGTTTGATCTGTCGTATTAGGATCTGTAGTATTAGGATCAGTATCCTCCTTGTTAGTAGTAAAAATTACTACACGTTTAGCTTTTCTTGAACGAATTTCATGATCTACTGCTATGTCTTCTTCATGTTCTCCCGATTCTTGTTCTAACTCCGTGATTAAGTTGTCTGCCCATCGAGGGACTTTTTTATTGATTTCTTTTATTCTAATTGCTTTTCCATTATCATCAGTTTCAGTTGTATTTAAAAAATATTGAAAATATTTTCTTCCTTCTGAAAATGAAAATAAAGAGGGACCCCTCCTATTTAGATTGATGGATGCTGGTTCTCTAATAAATTGAATGCTGAAAGTGAAAATTTCTCTTGATAATGGTTTTTTATCAAATCTGCTTATTTTCTGGTTGGAATCAGTATATGGAAGAAGCATAACATGAATCCGATTTATCCAAAATTTTTTATTAAAATTTTTTATTAGGATTGAACGTGAAAGACTTTTGTAGATTCTTCTTCGATATGATCCGTTCAAGACCGGATCATAACTTTTTGATAAGTATTCTTTTGTAAAATCATCATTACACAATTGAGTCCTTATTTGAAACATATTCAAGGGAATAGATTCTTTGTCTAGAGCTTCAATTCGATTTATAAACTCGTTGTTGAAACTTTTCCCTTTTTGTTTGTTAGTAAAAACCCACGAATTGTAAAGTTCATTAGATGAAAATTTTTTGAGTATAGCCGAGGATATCTTTCTTTTTATAATTTCAAAAAAAAAAGATAAACTAGACAAATATGTAAAAGAGATTCTTGGATTTCCATCACTTTGGCATATATCAAAAAAATATTGTGACATTTCATTTCGTACAGCTTTGTCAAATTTATTATTTTTTATGTAGCGAGAGGGTCGATTCCATCGTTTTGAATCAAAAAGAAGAATTACAAAAGGCTTGTAAAAGTGAATGGGGTGTTTATCTTGCGTTTTTTTATCAAATATTTTGAATTTGGAATTGTCATCATTTTCATTTTGATTCATGAGATAAAACTCTTTAG